GTTGGTTAGTTGCTGTTATGGTCTGAATGGATCCTGTGTCCCTTCCCATTTTCACCCGCAGTAAGTATCGGAAACTGAAGACAGGAGAGCTACATCTATCTGCAATCCGGATGAGCTCTCCGACTCACTTGAGTGTCCTCTACTGTCACATTTCAGATACCATCTCTCATCTCTCCCCAATTATAGGTATCGACAAACAATCCAGTTTACTCAAACTTATCTAAAAATTGGACACAACCCCAGTCCAATGTCAGCCTCTTTTTTAATATCTAATCCATGTTGTGTCAAATTCTCCTCAAATACAACAACTCCATTCAGACCAACTTTGTCTCCTCCTGTCTAGTGTCTGCTCGAAAGCACCACCACCCACCACCCTTTCCTTCATTTTTGTGCCTCTGTTGATATCTTAGTTTTGGTGAACAAAACAACCATGCTCTGAAGTTGGTCACCATTCTTTTCTAGTGTCTTCCTCTGGTTTTATGAATAGGGGATGCAAATTCATCTCTGTATTCATGAAACCATGTGTCTCAAGAGAAACAATCTCCATTTCTTCCTGTGTGTTTTTCTTCTTCTTCTGGTTTCTTCGTCAGCTCTGAATACTGATGGGGTTCTTCTCCTTTCATTCAAATACTCCATCCTCAATGACCCATTATCGGTCTTACAGAACTGGCACTACAATGATGAAACACCCTGTTCTTGGAACGGAGTGAGATGCACGGAACTTGGTAGTGCGAGGACGCCGGACATGTTCAGGGTCACCGGTTTGGTTCTCCCCAGCAGCCAGCTTCTGGGTTCAATTCCTGCAGAGCTCGGTTACCTCGAGCACCTTCGCCATCTAGATCTCTCCAACAACCTCTTCAATGGTTCTTTGCCAGGTTCACTCTTCAACTCCACGGAGCTTCGAGTACTCTCTCTGTCCGGTAATGTGATTTCTGGTGAGTTACCGGAGTTTGTCAGCGTTGCGATTAGTCTTCAGTTCTTGAATCTCTCCGATAATGCCTTGTTTGGGAAGGTACCCGAGCATATCACTGCTCTGAAGAACTTAACCATTGTTTCTCTGCGGTGCAACTATTTCACCGGTGGCATTCCGAGCGAGTTTGGGTCAGTTCAAGTGCTGGATTTGTCTTCGAATCTGCTTAACGGGTCTCTCCCTTTGGATTTCGGCGGTGACAATCTCCGTTACTTGAACTTCTCTTACAACAAGATTTCAGGGTCAATCTCGCCGGAGTTTGCTAAACGGCTACCGCAAAATGCTACAATCGATCTTTCCTTCAATAATTTAGAGGGGGCGATTCCAGAGTCTCTCGCTCTGCTTAATCAAAAAGCAGAGTCTTTTTCCGGCAATGTCGGTCTGTGTGGGAAGCCGCTAAAAAACCTCTGCTCAATTCCTTGGACTCTCTCCACTCCACAGAATGTGTCGACTACGAGTACATCGCCAGCAATTGCGGTGATACCAAAGCAAATTGACTCCAAACAGGGAACAAACAGGTCGAGTGGACAAAACAATACAGGGGGCCGTCTGAAACCGGGTACAATAGCAGCAATAACGGTGGCGGATTTGGCCGGAATAGCCATACTCGGGATGATCATCCTCTACGTCTATCAACTCAAAATCCGAAAAAAGCCCAATCGAGCAACTGGAGCAACAAACTCAGATAAAAAACCTGCGAATTTTAATGTTTTGTTTTCAAAATGTCCAGAACAGCCACCAGAATCGTCATCCTGTTCATGCATACGATTAAAACTCAACGAGACATCAGAGACCGGTAGCAGCTCCGAGGGGACAATCAATGAGATGAGCCCGAACCCAGCAGAGCCATACCAGAAAAGAGGAAAGCTGGTGACGGTGGACGGCGAGACCCAATTAGAGTTGGAGACGCTGTTAAAAGCCTCGGCGTATATCCTCGGAACGAGCGGGTCTAGCATAGTGTACAAGGCGGTGCTGGTGGACGGAGGGGTGTTTGCAGTGCGGAGGATTGGAGAAAGCTGCGTCAAGAAATTGAAGGATTTCGATACCCAAGTGAGAATCATTGCCAAATTAAGACACCCAAATCTGGTTCCGTTGCGCGGGTTTTACTGGGGAGACGATGAGAAGCTCGTCATCTACGACTACGTCCCCAACGGCAGCCTCACCACCGCCGGTAACAGTAAGTCCAGTCGCCTTCTTCCTTTGTTTTTCTCTCTGTCCGTGGCTCTGTGCTCTTTCCCACCCATATTAGCAGTAACTAATGCTTTTCACTAAAATAAGCTTCACATTCGGTGTTCATGTTAGCAAATGTCATATGTTTTTGCTAAAATAAGCTGATTTGTCGGTTTTTCATTTTCTCTGGGGTCCGGGATAGGTGTAGCACTTGGATACGTCGTTGTATGTGGAATGGGACAAAATGAGTACTTTGTGGGGGAAAATGCAAATTCCGACGAAAACGCAAAATAAGCCAAGAGCATGTGCAGATTTTGTGGGGAAAGGGAAAGGTTAAAATTTCATTTTGGTCATTTTATTTTAACAAAAAGTTTTCTTTTAGTCCTTTTATTTATTGATCTCCTTTTGAGTTCATAAAATTTGAAATCTGGCCTTTTTTAGTCTTTTTGTTATTTTTTGCATATATGATACATTAAATCATGTAAATTTCAAAGTAGAAAGACAAAAAAAAGGACTAAAATAACTTCTTTTTAGTCCCTCTATTTTTAAAAAAGTTTTTGTTTTGTCTTGTTATTTTAAAAAAGTCCTTTTTAGACACTTTATTTTGAAATTTTCATTAAGATAACATGTCATAGGAGAAAAAAAAAAATAAAGGGACTAAAAATGGGTTGATTTTTAAATTTTAAGGACCAAAAGAAGTTTTTTTAAGTAAGAGAACTAAAAAAGACCTTTAGTTAAAGTAAATGGACTAAAAAAGGATTTTAACCGAAAGAATTTGTAGCATTGATCCATTGAAATTTGGACATTGTTTAATTTGGTTTGATGAGTTTGAGAATTTGATTCCATCTTTTGGTAAGCATTCTAGGATGAAAACAAAACAATATGGAGTGGAATTTGCATTTGTCCCCAATGATGTTTCACATGTTGCATGCTACAAAGTCGTTGAAAAAAAAAATTTCCCCTTCGCGAATGTTTTTTTT